AGACGTAGTACTCCGGCATCATGCCCTCAACCTCTAAGGCCTGGAGCAGTTCCGCAAGCGCAAACGTTGGGCTTTCTGTTGGTTCCTCATTGTCAGATTCTACGACAGATCGTGACACGCTCTGTGGCGAACGCAGTCCAATTGGTCTCCCGGATTCGATAACGTTGCTCTGGGTACGGTTTCGTTTTGGCGTCGCAGGTGGAATCTGTCGTGTATGCTGAGCATCTGAAATCTTTTGGCGCAAATCCTTAATACGCGAATTGCTGGCGTTAAGCTCCGCCTCAACCTTTTGTCGTTGCTCTTTGGTCTGCTTCGCTTTCTTAGAGTTCAGGGCCTCGAGCATATTCTCACTCCCCTCCTTGATCTTCATCTCACGGTTGAGTCTTTCTTTCAGATGTGCCAGAGCTTGCTCAGCTAGCGTGTCTGCGTCGTCCTCTTCCACCTTGTCCATGAAGCTGCTTGGGTATATTGACCCCGCTTCAGTCTTACTTCCAGCCCGACTACGCAACTCTGAACTAAAGCTGCCGGGAGCAACATTAAGACTGCTTCCCCTTGGCGCAAAAGATACGGCCGAAGCCGAGAGATTTCGGGCGTTGGCGCCATTGGGGGGTTGTAGACCCGAATCCCCTCGGTCGAAGCTTGTGCGACCGGATAACTGTTGAGGCAGGTTGTGTTGTGAAGGTTGGCTCGGAGGGGTCATGCCCTTCTGAGCTGCTGCAGAGGAGCTCAGCATATCAGCGGCGAACAGCCCACCGATTGGGACTGGGCCCAAAGGTGGTGGAAGAGCATTCGTCGATCAACGGGCGACTGAGGTGAAGAGTACGGAGGATGCGATCGCGGTCAAGGTTCGTATGCGTTACAGTGACTTCGATTGATAGGCGTGTATTCGTTCGCAGAATGGCGGTATAAAGTGATTGTCTAGATCTAATACTTAGAGCGATCGTGATGTTGTGTCGTATGTATAACTTGGCCCGCGTTTTCGGCGATCGCGCTGTCAGTGAAGCTGTAGTCTATCTGGACAGCGAAACTGAGTCAAGCTGGAGTTTCAAGAGAGCGGAGTTGTCGCCGTTGAAGGTACCTTAGCTTGCGTGGGTTCCAAGGCGACGGTGGGCGAGAAAGGAAGCAAATGATGTAGCCACAATATGGGGTTGAAGGACCAGTTTACCAACAGAAGCAATAACCAGATTGATGCCGTACAGAACCTGACCTTACGTAGATACCTAGGCCAATATCAGAGCAAAACGAGCGAGGTTCAAGGACCAGTTTGGCAGGGTTTCGAGAGACGAGAGGACAGGTGATTGGAGGATCGAGAACAGAGGTTGCTGGCTTGCGGGCAACCAGGGCCTAAAGTGGAGGCGGACAAGACCCAGCCAGATGGTGATGTATTCCATTTACAGACCTGCCCGGGGCACTAAAGTCAACCTTGTGCTCTGTAACCTGTGCTGCAGCCTACAGTTGCGGGCGGCTTCACTACCGTTGGAAAGTTTTGGAATAGCTCCGTCTGGCACAGTAGCGTGCTGTAGATTAGATGCTCTGAGCTTAAAGTGTTTTATTCCGGGGTTACGATGGAGTTACGAGAGCATCCCATGAAGCTGAGGAGCTGAACTGCTGCTGAGCAGTCGAGTAGCTGAGTTTGAGAATCAGTGCCAATAGCAATAGAGGATGTATTGCAATCAACCTATTTGGCGCAAGGCAGCTGATTGTCGTTATATGCCTTCGTTCTCATAAGCAAGGAGTTTCCACCTCACCAAAGCATTTCAAGCTTGAGAAGTAATGGTTTCGCCATCTGCAATCTTGACCAGATTCACATGCCGGTACACACAAGTTGAAAACCCCATACTCCGAATATATTGGTGCTTCGTGAGGCCATCAACAAAAATGTGAAAGATGGGTACCCTACAGACTGCATGCCGGCAGCTTGCAACACTCCAAAACTCCAAAACTCAGCAGACCGGAAGACATGAGGATTGCCTCGATCACAAACACCAGAATCTGATAGGTACTCTTCCCGCATGATCTTGTACCTCATCTTTTCTGCAGCCAGAACTCAAATTGTCTTCGTATCGCAGGAATCATGCGATATTGAGTCGCATTATAAGATAAGATAGACAAGTCGAGATAAGAGCTCCGATGGCCCCAGGCGGGCCCCGACATACGGGATCGAGGGCATCGGCGTCCTCCGGGGCCCGGCACCGACCCCATCGCCCCATGGAAAAGCTTCAATTCGCTAACAATTGCAACATCGGATACTGAATTGTTCGGCCGTAGGCGCTTGATTTCTGATCGTCAACGTCCGTCTCCGTCCGTTGAGCCGCTTAGAGTAGCGTTGTTTGGTTGCTTTGTCGCTAATCACCTTAGCCGGAGCCGTCATTATCGCTGGGAAGGGGGGCTGACATCCCAACCATTCTGCATACTTGCTAATCTATATTTAAAAGCCTATTCCTCCCCTTTCCTCTCAAATCATACCGTGCTTAATCTCGACTCTTGAAAACATTGCCGTCGCTCATCTCTTGTCGCAATACACTGAACCTGAAACCTCCTTATCTGGTCTTGTCAGTTATCAATACACGTCTTCAGACTTATCACACAACAAGCATCTCACAATGCCTTACGTATCTGCTGCTCGCTATGGCAAGGACAATGTCCGCGTCTGCAAGGTTGATCGCGATGCCTCAACTGGCATCCAGACCGTCACTGAGATGACCGTCTGCTGTCTTCTCGAGGGAGAGATTGAGACCTCCTACACCAAGGCCGATAACAGTGTTGTCGTTGCCACCGACTCTATCAAGAACACCATCTACATCACCGCCAAGCAGAACCCTGTCAACCCTCCCGAGTTGTACGCCTCTATCCTCGGTAGCCACTTCATCGAGAAGTACAGCCACATCCATGTTGCCAATATCAACGTCAAGACTGTTCGCTGGCAGCGTCTGGAGGTTGACGGCAAGCCTCACCCCCACAGCTTTTTCAAGGATGGCGAGGAGACCCGAAATGTGGAGGTTCGCGTGAGCCGACAGGAGGGCATCCAGATCAAGAGCTCTCTTGTTGGCTTGACTGTACTCAAGAGCACCGGTTCTGCTTTCCACGGCTTTGTTCGCGATGAGTACACAACTCTTCCCGAGACTTGGGATCGCATCTTCTCAACCGATGTTGATGCTACGTGGAAGTGGAAGAAGTTTGACTCACTGAACGCTGTCAAGGCCTTTGCTCCCAAATTCGACAGTGCTCGAGAGGCGGCACGCAACACCACTCTCAAGATCTTCGCCGAGGACGACAGTGCGAGTGTGCAAGCCACCATGTACAAGATGTCTACCCAGATCCTCGGGCTTGTGCCTGAGATTGCGACAGTCACTTATGCACTGCCTAACAAGCATTACTTCGAGATTGGTAAGCCTAGACACGCTTCCCCAAGTACACTATTGATACTGACCTCTTATCTAGACCTGAGCTGGCACAAGGGACTTAAGAACACAGGCAAGGATGCTGAGGTTTACGCACCCCAATCTGGACCCAATGGTCTTATCAAGTGCGAGGTGTCTCGTGACAACTTGCAATCAAAGCTATGAGGGGCGTTGAGAGTGGTTGTATTCTGCGGCGATAGATGTCAAGATGGAACGTTGTAATGAACCCAGGATAAAGATTGATACCAAGCGATGGACTTAGACTCTAGCACTAGATATGATTTGAGTAATTACCTTAATTCTGCTACCTTTCTGCTTTTTCTGATTATAACGTGTTGCGACCTATACTGTGGTATTACTTCACTGATGCCTTTTTACGATTGGTATCCATGTGTGAGCTGTCGGGGCATAATCAAGGTAAATATCACTGGCAGAGCGTAAACCAGACCCAACGTTTTTGCACAGCAGATGAAATGTACATCGGGCACATCATATCATGAAAAACGTTGATAATTGCTTGGTGCTAGTTCATAATATGCCAAGATATTGGTACAAATAGTACAAGGACTCTCACAGCCCATCCGCATACTCCGTAGTTTCTACCGCACAGCTCCCTCGCCCCATATTCACTACCGTACTTCTTATAATCGTTTCTTATCGCCATTTCGGACTCTTTCAGTGGCCTTCTCCCAACCCTCAGCTCCCACTGGTATACCAGCAAAACGTATCAAGTTATCCTTGTACGGATGAGCGTCGCCCTCAAACGCCTTAAGTCTTGCCAATCGCTTGTCTCGTAGCCGGTTCTTGGGCAACATGCCACGCACAGCCTTGCGCAGAACCTCACTGCCCCCGTGCGCCTCCATGAGTGCGTCCATTGTGACGGTCTTGAGGCTACCAGGTCGTGTCGTGTGTCGGTAGTAAGGCTTTTGCCACTTCTTGCGGCCGGTTGTGTGAAGAGCGGCGCAGTTGGTCACGACAACGTAGTCACCGCAGTCGGTTGAGGGGTCGAAAATCGGCTTGTGCTTGCCCATGAGAAGAACAGCGATGCGAGATGCGAGACGGCCGAGTGAAGGTGGTGTAACTCCGGGCTGAGTAGAGAGTGTGGCATGAGGGGCGGAGGCAGATACACCGTGCCATACTCGAGAGTAGGCCAGTTTTGTCTATTTGATATTGGTTAGACAAGAGAAAGACTTGAGGATGTTCATCTTATCAGCTCACCAGGCCGACGACTTGCGACATGTTGGAGGCTTTGAGAGATCAATCTCTCACAAGGTACCTCCAATTGGTTTGATCAGCCGCAAAACTGGAATAGGAGGGGTCAAATCGTCGTGTATCTTGGTTTTGCGGTATCACGAGATCTATCAACACCGAATCGCTCAACCAGAAAGTTTGGATCCAGATGCCAAGGATTAATTGCTGACTCAGGGAGAAGAACAGTCACGTGCCAATAGCTTAAATCCCGAAGCCACTGCCTGACCCGCTTCCGGGGTGCGGAAGTGTGCGACAACGGCCGGACCCCGATGTTATCACTCGATTGTGGATTTCAAAGCAGCGAACAAAACCCGCCCACGTCCTGCTACAACCTTGTTTTCTAAGCAAATGCCTCTCAAGTTTACACCTGCAAGAGTATTTACAACTGCTTCTCTCTTTACAATAGCTGGCTATTCAGCATATCAATATCGAATCTCACGTATCAGCTCTAACACCACGCCCCCCACTTGTTAGTTCTCCAACTTCTATGCGATTCTCTTACACTGGAAGTATGAAACTAACGGATCAACGCAGCATCTAACAAGATGACGGCCGATAACTCGTTTGAGGTGCGCACAAAATTCTGAGCTATGAGTCATGGCTGAGAAAAGGGGACGAGGAGAGTTGTTGAGATCTTTTCCCAATATTCATGAACTAATGAAACGTCTCGAAAACAGACCCTCTTTGCTGTTCCGCTGTCATGTGACGGTTGTGTCAAGGCGGTTTCAGACTCTCTGTACAAGCTCGGCGGTATCAGTAATGTGGAAGGCAACTTGAAGGACCAGTTGATTTCTGTCAAGGGCACAGGTAAGGCGAGCTAACTCACCGAGCCGCGTACAAGCTAACGGTGCCGAACTTCCAGCTCCCCCATCAGCTATCGTAGAAGCTATCCAAGCCACCGGAAGAGATGCCATATTGCGTGGAACGGGGGCCTCAAACAGTATGTGCAGAGCAGTTGCTCACCCTCCGCCGTTGATACAATCACACTGCCATTGGAATGCCGGCTCCTCAAATCTTGGCTCTACAACTTGGTACGATGGATCACTAACCTCGAAATCTGACAGGTGCCGCTGTGAGTATTCTCGAAACATTTGAAGATCCTGTGGACGGTTTTTACGAAGAGCCCAGCAGAGATGTAAGGGGGCTAGCAAGAATGGTACAAGTTAGTTCAGGACGGACATTGGTTGACTTGACTATCCGCGGCGTTTCGCCCGGAACTTACAAAGCTTCAATTCGCGCATACGGTGACTTGAAGAACGGTGCAACCTCAACGGGTCCTGTCTGGGCAGGAGAAGACAAGAAGCCTCGGGGTGACCTTGGTACTATTGCGGTCGGTGAGGATGGACGGGGCGCTGCCTTCATAGACCATGGTTTCCAAATCTGGGAGGTTATTGGGCACGCCATGGTCCTGACAAGGCAGGAAGAGAAGGACGAACCACTGAAGAACGATAAGGACACCGTCGTCGGCATTATCGCACGAAGCGCTGGCATGTGGGATAACGATAAGACGGTGTGCTCATGCACAGGCAAGACGCTTTGGGAGGAACGAGAGGACGAGGTCCAGAAGGGAATGCTATGATAACGAGGCATATACCAAATCCAAGCCGGCAAACAAGCCTGAACATTATCACTGAACAGTGCCAAGAAGAGTATTATTTCTGATTTATGGCATGATGCACACCCTTCGTTGGAGGCTTGTCGTCCCTTCAACTGTTTCTCCGCAAATTTGAAACAAAGCCCATGCAAACCGAGTTGGGTTGAAGGGTGACAAGTGGAAGATCTGTAACGCATCGACGATGCTGCGGCGAGATGTGGTGCGATATCTGACCTGGGGACAAGATCGAACATGGGTCTTTTCCATGATCATGGTTCGATATCATTCCAAAGAGGCAATATCTCTCGTATTTAGCTGTGCCTCACGGAAAAACTGATTCTCGTAATCGTTCTCTTTGAAGAAATTCGGAACTATATCCTGCGGTTACATATCCTCGTGATAAAAGCTGGTAAACCGCTGATGGAAGTTTGGGACTAAGGCATAGACGGCAAGTAGAATCTGAGATCCGGGGCTTCAATGCATTGGCAGTAAGACCTTGCTGGGATGAAGATGAAACCCCGGAGATCAGCCACATAATTATGCGAGACAATGGTGTAAGTGACAGCTGTAACATGTTCCATTGGCATCTCCTCCTTGACGTCAGTCACGATAGGCCAGCGCTGCCAAGGTGAGCTTCGGAGTAGATCGACTGTTTCGATGACTACAAAGAGAAAAGAATATTCAGGTGAGTGAAGGATGAGACGAAAGGACAGGGACGATACCTGCTCGTGTGTATGAGAGAGACGGGAGGAAATACAAGGCTGAGGGTTAGCTCAAACCTTCGCATCAGGATAGTAGATAAACTCAAGATCTGATGTACGATGAGAAACAGGGCGAAATGAAGGAACTAGAAACTGTTCAAAGTTGAATCTGGAACTTAGATACAATACTAACCAACCTTGATGGGTACATGATCGACTATTGCCGTTGAATCCGCTCGTACTGTGAGACAGACAGATACACAGGTCAGTGGTATACGATTATTCAACTTGAACCATTTTTATGATAACAAGGTATGTTGAAGTAATGCTGGCTCTCTTATCAAGATTGACCAATGGCTCTGGCTCACCTGTTAAGCGATGTCAACAGATATTTAACTTTATTAGCTTTTTATATCAAGTAGATATCTCAATATACGTGAAAGTGTCTAATGCATACTATCGATTTTAAGCTCACCAAATAGTGTCCGGTGTGAGATTGTCTCAGATATCTCGTGCCTGAACTTCATGTCGTCTAGAAACTTTCTGCTACGTCCCCGGGTCTCGGGCTGTAACCAACTGGCACCCCTGGCTTGGCTCCATGGGGCTCCGGATCACCATATGCCGAAAGGTTCAATGCAACATGCACTGCCGCAGTCGTCGTAAGGCCTCCCGCAGAAAGGGAGTACATCTATATAGTTGTTGGCCCGGTAAGGAGGCCAGACGGGGTCAGAACGCCAGGAGAAAAAGTCCCAACACAATCAGGCTTGAGAGACTGGATGAAGAGCCCGGACTGGTGGTACGCTATGGATACTCGGTACTATATCGTACACAGCCAGATGCGTGTTGAGTGGGCGCATTAGCGTCGAGGGCTGGCGGCAATGGAAGCAAGGGATAGGCTGGAAATTCTCCAAGATGAAGATGTTGTAAAAAATCACGAGAGCAAACATCATCATCTGTCGTTTTGTTCAAGTCATGAAAGTTGTTCCTGTAGGTTGGTGCCGGTTTCTTCCTAAACTCCGTTTGCCAAGATCGCTTGAGAGTCTCTCCCTGGTGGCCGCCCGGGTTGGATCTCGGCTCTTTGCTAACGAGAGTACAGTACAACGACTCTCGTTTTCACTCACCGTAGATCCACTGGTCCTCGCATCTTGGCAGCTTGGGCTGGACAGGTGGGGGCCAGTACCATTTGCAACGCTCATTTCGATCCCGTGCCTTCGGGACCGAAGCCTGAATAGAACAAAAACGTTACGATCGAGTCTAGTAACAGTAAGTTATGTTAGTCTGCTGTATGTTCCATTCCTTTGGGCCTATGCTGCAGGGTCCATCACTCTAAACTGCCCACATCAGGGCGCTTAAACCCAGATTAGGATTGATCGAGAGGATGGAACGCACGTCATTCGACACCAGCAGCTTGGACGCATAAACCCATCCCATCCCATCAGCCACGGCGGTCGACCAGGGTATGACTTGTTGGCATTGTCCGCTATGTAAGTTCGACTGAAGATTTCCCATCATGGGAGAGGGGGGAGAATTGGAGTAGGCGCCGATGGGTGGGTCATTCAGGCAAGACCCTGGTGCAGTGGCCAATGAGAAGATGCGCCTGAGAGTGACCAGCACCTGTGACAGTCGCTGCAGCAGGTGCATAAAGTGACCCCGTTGTCTAAGCAAACCCTGGCAGAACCCCAAATCTTTCATCACAGTTAGCATAGAACCTTTCGATTACTTTGAGGCATCTGACGACGCTGCTGAATGCAGTGGTTCGATCTAACATGAGAGCTAGTTTCATGAGGGTAGGATACACCAATTTAGCTCTCATCTATGTGAGGAAAAGAAAGACATCACATCGAGGTAGTTCATCACATCACAGGTGACGGTTATGCATTCAGTCTTAGTCTACACCGTCAAACAGCCAACTTTTCTTTTTCGAATCCCCCGATATGTATCCATTAGTTATGCCAGTGGAGAAGAGAAACAAGATGAGGATTTTAGGTTGCCAGCTCAAACCCGGCCCGGTAAGAGTGTTGGTAAACCTCTTACATGTGGCTAGCGGTCGATCAGACGTTGCCCATACACCGAGAGGAGTAATGCATTTCAGATCTCAGATGCAGTCGGAAACATTGCTGTAGCAGAGTGCAAGAGGAAAAGAAAAACGTGCGAACCCTTGTTGCACATCCCCCTGGCCCGCTGCTGAACAGACCTCGGAGGGGATAAAACCTCTGATGTTGAATTTAGGATGCCAGAATAAACTGGTCTAAAGCTCTACTAAGATATACTATACACTTACCTGAGTCTTTTTATCGCTTAGGATAAAGGCTCTAAGTTTTCTTGCCTCCCGTTAGCAGAGACTACAGAGTGTGGTTGTAGAGAGTCAGGTCCCGTGCAGGCCGTGTGACAACCATCATCGACCAATTCCCATCGTCCCTAGGCGCTGGGTCTAGTTGCACCAGCCACTCATCGGTTATTGTGCCGTATGTCATCTCAAGCACTGCTGCAATCGATCACTTCCATCACCACGCCATTGACTCTTGGCTCGCAATAATCTCTTGTTCGACCTAAAAATAGGCCATGAAATTGGCAGTTTTGTTCCTCACAAAAGTTTTGATTCCATGCCATGTGTTTTCATTGCAGCTGAGCCGGAGGGAAACATCCCACTTACATGAACGATTTCTTGGCCTACCTATTCTCTCAAGCTGGATATAATAATGACTACTCGGCCTCTCGATTTGTCGTTCGCCGATCAGTATCTCGATTGTCTTCTCTTTGTTGTATCGGGATAACTGTTGCATACAATACCCGTCCGTACAATAGCTTGTTGTTCTATACGCGTTTAGGTCTCGAGTCAATTCCAACACTCAACTCTGAGCCTTTCAACCACTTCTCAACCAACCTCAGCAACCAACAACGCTTGAGGCTATAAAAAGAATACTCCAAGAGCAGACAGAATCGGCATACGATCCAACCTAATCTCCCATCGATTATCTATATCACCAAACAAACCAATCCCCTCATCGTCTAGTCACCAAGCACATCTTGACTTTCCTCTTTCTCTCTCGAGGTAGCGCCACTGGCTTGGTCGCCAAGACATCGAGACTTGCAGTGCGCCAATTGCTTGCTTCAGGCTCCTTTCGCACTCCAGCACCGGACTATCCCTGCATAGACAACCCCCTGTCCCCTAGCTTCAGTGAGGTGTCTGCCAGGCCCGTACTTGGCATACCCCTGTACCCCCGTACCGTGCCTAGCGTACCTGCCCCCCCGCCGACCGCACCGCACCTTCCTTACCTCTGGTCACAGGTGCTGCCCGCCGAATAATAAGTTGGGACAGCCCTCATACATTAAGCGCCCATTCTGAGCCCCTCAACTCTCCCTTGACTCTTGAATTTCTGCTATTTACCACCAATATCCCCCTATACTGTTTTCTATTCCCGATCATACCGCTCTTAAATATCTATCTACCTATCCTTCTAAATTCGAATCTGCCGTGGTACTTTGCCCTGCAACGACAATCATGTCGTTGAAACAGGTACACTCTACTGCCATGTCTTTCAAATCAGTCCACTAACCCAATTCCCCTCTACAGGAAATCGAGACTTGGGTGGCAGCCCTGGGTCGCTACGATAACAATGAATTCGAAGAGGCTCTCAACGAGTTTGGAAAAATTGGCGACACTAGCAAGATCCTCTTCAACATGGGCGTGATCCATGCCACACTCGGCGAGCACGAGAAAGCTGTATGCGAACATCTGCAGACTATACAATTTAACAATACTAATTGCTTGCCTACCAGGTTGAGAGCTACCAACGAGCCATTCGACTTGACCAATACCTCGCCGTGGCCTACTTTCAGCAAGGCGTCTCAAATTTCCTCCTCGGCGACTTCGAAGAAGCCCTTGCCAACTTCAACGACACACTTCTTTACCTCCGTGGCAATGCCATGATCGATTACGCTCAGCTCGGCCTTCTATTCAAACTCTACTCCTGCGAGGTGCTTTTCAACCGAGGTCTTTGCTACATCTACTTGCAGCAGATGGAGGCTGGTATGCAGGATTTCTCGTATGCTGTGAAGGAGAAGGTGGTCGAAGATCACAATGTTATTGATGACGCTATCAGAGAACAGGCCGAGGTTTGTAATCTCATAACATTTACCCTGACTGCTCATCTAACTTGATTAGGGTTATACTGTCTTCTCAATTCCTGTCGGAGTTGTCTACAGACCCAACGAAGCCAAAGTTCGAAACCTCAAGACAAAAGATTATCTTGGCAAGGCCAGACTTGTGGCAGCTTCAGATCGTGCCAATGCCTTTACTGGATTTGCAGGTTCTGAAATCAAGAACGTAAGCGGTTCCCAAAATTCTTATGCTGAAATTTCCCTGACTAACAGCATTTAGGCTGGTAAGCTAGAGGTCAAGGATGACCGGCCTGCCGACAACATTTCCTTCGCCGCTACAAATCTCGTCAAACCTGGTCTTTCGTCTCGGAGACAACAATCAGAGCCTCCGAACAACCGAAATGTATTTCCGCCAACACCCCCACCCGAGAACGAGCGCCCATCTCGTGCTGCTTCTGTTCGCGGTGGGAAGCCTCAGTTGGCTAAACTCAACATACAGCAGGCCGAGCCAAACCGCCGGTATGAGAAGGCAACTTCTCCACCAGATAGCCGTTCTCGGCCCATGCCCGCTAGATCAGCATCTGCTGCTAGTTCTAGAATGATGCAGAGGGAGCCTCAACCTCTCCAGCTAAGACCCCGGCAGATCCCAGAGGAGACAGGGTCACCGGAGGATGTCTATGCTATGTACCAGGGAGGCGATCCTTACCGAAACTCAAGAGGGTCTACCGGCAGTCGACGCCAGAGACAACCACAGTATTCTGAAGAGGAAGACGGATCCGATTATGAGGGCACCATCAACGAGAACGACTTCGAGATGATCGGTCAACGCCGAGGCCCAGGCTCTGTTTCAGGTCAACGTGGTAGCCGACGACCAGAGATCACAAAGATCCGTGTCAAGGTCCATGCCGATGAAGTCAAACTCATCATGATCGCTCCTGATATCAAATACGAAACGCTAGCCGACAAGGTTCGCGATAAGTTTAATATTAGGCGACGATTTAAGATTAAGGTTAAGGACGAAGACATGCCCAATGGGGACATGATTACAGTGGGCGACCAGGATGACCTGGAGATGGTGATTGATAGTGTCAAGGAGGAAGCAAAGAAACAACGAGCAGAAACTGGCAAGATGGAGGTATGTGGACTTTCCCCTCCTTATGGTGCTGAACCCATCACTAACATGATCGCAGATTTGGATCTTTCAACTTTAGACATATACCCTGACAGCGCGCATTTGCATTTTGGATATTTACGAACTTCTATCTATCACGAAGCTGTGGCTTGTGAGCTGACCAAGAAATCTCCAGAAAAGACCCTTTTCTGTTCTTGGATTTTTACCATTATCTTAATCTTGTACTTTTCAAACCATGTCAAAATAGTCAGCATATTAAGGGTTTTAAGTTAGATGGCAGGCAGGCAGGCAGGTAGCCGGAGTCAGGGGTATTTGATTTCTACCTATCTAATCACTCATACGGAGGGAATCAGAGAAAAGAACAGGGCGAGGCCCAAGGGTTCGCATTTAACCTCAATCATGACGTTATGACAACACCAAATTTGATAGTCCATCGTGAACATCGTTGATCGTGAATACGGATTGGTAGTAATTACCCCAGCCATGCTAGTCATTGAATTTGCGCATAATTTTACAGCTACTCATACAACACATCTCCAATTTTTTTTTCCAAAGCCCTGCCCTCAATAGGTACTCAATACCGTAGGCGACCAACCAACTGGGCAACTTTCCATATCTCTACCGAATGCTTTCGACTTCTGAAGCCAACAGACCCCTGTTCTCTATCCAGCACTGACGGAGAGTTGGCCACTAGATTCTAGTTCACCGAGCAAAGAAGCCACGAGATTGGCACGGTATCGCCACTCATCTTGACCCAACACATCAAACAGAATGCGGGACGACTTGCTAACGGCCTGTGAATCACCGATTGCAATTAGGCGAAGAATAGCATGTAGGTCGGGAGCCTGGTCTGAAGGGATGCTCTCAAATAAGCGGTCAACGGCCGTTTCCCAGTCTTCATTTCCTTGCACGGTCTTGTTGACCATTTCAAGCAAGTCGAGGCGCGGGGTCTCGCTGACGATGGCCGCTCGGTAAATATCAGTAGGAGGGCGCCAAAAGAAGTACGGTAGCAAACGTGCCAAGTTAGCCACAGAGGCATATCGTACGGTTTCTTGAAAGATGATCTTGGAAGTATATGACTGAGAAGATTCAGACGAAAGCATAGCTGGAACAGGAGATAACGGGGCGGGCCAGTCGAGAGCGGTGCCTGTGGGTTGGATGGGCTTGTAGTCATCAGAAATGGACTGAGAGGAGGCGGTTATGGCATGAACTTCGTTGACAAGGGGAGTCACTAGGTAATCTCTTATGAGCTCCTGCTCGCGAGATGTGTGGTCGGCAAAAGGTGTTTTCGTAAGGAGATTTCGATACTCGTGCTGGAAGAAGTCGAGCTTAGTTGGATTGAGTTTGATACCACCTCGGGTGAACTTGTAAGTCAACTGATCCATAATTAGCACACTTGTCATGCAGTACTGGCAGCCTACATCAGCTTTCAGAAACAACTCACATTCTCGGCGACATCACTGAGAGTTCTCGGTGTCTTCGCATCTCTCTTCATAGATGCACCTAGGTTAGCAAGCCACGCCTGTAAAGCCATAGGGAAGACGTTCTGGTCCATATACGTAGACAGGTCAACGCTACTATCGCGCTTGCTAAGCTTAGATCCGTTGTTACTAACGAGGAGGCCCAGGTGAGCAAAGGTCGGGGGCTCCCAGCCGAAAGCTTCATAGAGGGCCAGATGCTTGGGTGTCGAGATGAGCCATTCCTATGCAGATGTAAGTGAATGTCGCAAAATCCCAAACCATGAGGGTACCTACTTCACCACGGATGACATGTGTAATCTTCATCAAATGGTCATCAACTACATTGGCAAGATGGTACGTAGGATACCCATCCCTTTTCATGAGAACAAAGTCTTCCTCGGGCTCCTTCTTCTGAAAAGGCCCGTAGATAGCATCCTTGAACTTTGGCGTGCCGAAGCGAGTAGAGTCAAGCCGAACGATATGAGCTTCACCCCTGGCGGCTCGCTCATCGGACTCAGAGCGCGGCAGAGTACGACATGTGCCAGGGTAGGCTGTAGACTTGCCAGCTTCGTGAAGAGCTCGTTTCTGGGCTTCGAGGACTGTTTGATCACAAAAGCAACGATAGGCAGAACCATTTTCGAGCAAGGTTTGCGTGTGTTCTTTATATGTCTCTAGACGTTCCGACTAGTTATTGTATCAGCATAAGGTGAGGGTGACAAAGTCAAGAGGAGCTTACCTGTCGATAGGGGCCATATGGACCTCCTTTGTCAGGACCTTCACTCCATTCAAGCCCGGCCCATTCGAGATCTTTGAAGATTCTTTCTTCAGCATCGGGCACCAACCGATTCTTTTATAATCAGCATGAGTTTGCAACCCGAAGCCTTAGAAATTGAAGACTTACTTGATCAGTATCTTCAATTCTAATAATGAAATCACCGCCTGCTGTAGCCTTGGCCACCAAATTGTTGAACAAGGCGGTCCTCAAAGAGCCGAGGTGCAGATATCCAGTAGGTGACGGTGCAAAACGTGTACGGATTGGCTTATTGGCTGATTGTCCAAGGATATATCGCTGATTTGCTTCTCCCTCTTTGACCTTGGTATCCTTGTTCCCAACATTCTGATCACGTTTTTTTAGAGCCGCAAGTCTTGATGGCTTCTTAATGGATCGATCATGTTTTCCCCCTTGTTCATTGAGTTCTTCTGGAGGACTTTGAGAAGCCTTCTTCGCTATATCAGAATTTTGATCATGTTGACGACCAACAGAGCTTGTGAAGTTACGACGAGCAAGGAGAGGTATTGGTCGATATAGAACGAGGTATTGTATAAAGTTTCTTGAAAGCCTCGTTGGGTGGCTTAACAAGGGCCTCATGTTGAAAAGTGCTTCTCATGACAAGCTAACCAACAAGTGTGAGTGAGTAAACCAGTCTCATGAGATTATGAGATTGTGGCGGTGCATGGCGAAACAGAGCATTGCGCCACAGTGTGGCGGCTTGTGTCGTCTCATGGAAATCGTCGCCTGCGATAAGAGTCAAAATTTCTTATCAGTGGACATGAGACCCTGAAGTTTGAATGGCGTCGTTAACTTAGACGATGGAGGGGAGAAAACTGTTTGCTTGATGTATCGAGGATGCCATGAATTCAAAACTGGATATGATATAGACTACAGAGGCCATTTTACTTGTATCAAGCAAATAGAACAGGATTTGCTATCAGAATTGGAATGCTAGGCGTCAACGAACATGACGCAGTCAAAGTCAAGAGCAAACATTGAGACGACTTGTATGATAAGAACGGGTTCTGCATTTAATTTTCTTGTTATGCATTTAAGAGTCATGACATCAGAAAACGTCAAGTCGAGAGGGTATTGTCAGGACTCCCTTGACTTACTTATACTGTTTGACTGTTTGACTGACTGACTGACTTGACTTGACTTATCTTTTCTCTTTTCTTCTTTCCCTTACGTACCCCGCGCTCCAAATCCGCGCCAAAAGATTTTCTACGGGCCCCTGCTCTTGCACTCAGCCAACAGAGTTGATCGACGGAGCGGACCAATTCTTCATCCTGCATTACATTACAGTACAGTACAGCACAAGTACTGTAGCCTATTTTGCTGTGCCAACCTTGCTTCATCTCCGATTTCCAAGATGGATGAGAACCCTTTCAACGCGGGCGCTCCTGGCGCCGAGGAGGTCGATCTCTATGGTATGTACAAAAACACAAGTTTATTATTCCGGCCACTCGTTATCGCCAAATTTGTGGTGGTTGATAAGCAAAGCCTGCCTGGCTAACTCGACTGCTAGAACTTCTCGAGATCGACAGAACTGCCACACCAGATCAGATCAAGAAGGCTTACCGCAAGGTATGTGATCGCGGTTACACGGATCGTGCAGCGCTTTCTTACAAATTCGAAATAGGCCGCCCTGAGGTACCACCCAGACAAGGTCGCCGAAGAGCATCGAGAAGAATCCGAAGCCAAGTTCAAGGAAGTCACGCAAGCCTACGAAATTCTCAGCGATGAGCAGAAGCGCGAGCTCTACGATGTTCACGGAATGGCCGCCTTCGACAAGTCCCGAGGCGGTCCTGGCGGTCCTGAGGTCGACCTCAACGATATCCTCTCCCAGATGTTTGGCTTTGGCATGGGCCCCGGTGGCCCTGGAGGCCCTGGAGGTCCCGGCGGCGCTCGCCGACCCAGACGTGGTCCTGATGAGGAGCAAGAGTACAAGGTGACGCTTGAGGAGCTTTACCGTGGCAAGACTGTCAAGTTTGCTGCCAACAAGCAGGTACTTTGCGGCCAGTGCAAGGGCTCTGGCGGCAAAGAGAAGGCCAAGTCTTCTTCCTGCGAGCGCTGCAAGGGTAATGGTATCGTTGAGGCCTTCCGCCAGATAGGGCCTGGTATGATGCGCCGTGAGACTGTTATTTGCGATCACTGCCAGGGTGCTGGTCAGGTCTTCAAAGAGAAGGACCGATGCAAGAAGTGCAAAGGCAAGCGAACAACACAGGAGAAGAAGGTTCTCGAGATTTACATCCCCAGAGGCTCCATGCAGGGCGAGCGTATTGTCCTGGAGGGTGAAGCCGACCAGTACCCCGACCAAACGCCTGGCGATATCGTCTTCACACTTGTGGAAGAACCCCATGATGTCTTCACTCGTATTGGACATGATCTGTCTGCTGAACTGACTGTATCACTTGGAGAGGCTCTATCAGGTTTCTCACGAACAGTATTCAAGCACCTCGATGGACGTGGCATTCACATCGAACGACCTCAAGGCAAGATCCTGCGACCAGGTGACTGCCTCAAGGTTCCCGGCGAGGGCATGCCTATGAAGCGTGGCGAGACGAAGGGTGACCTCTACCTGATTGTCAAGGTGGAGTTTCCTGAGGATGGTTGGCTGAAGAGCGAATCGGAGTATCACACATTGCAAAAGATGCTGCCTCCTCCCCCTGCTAACATTGAAGCCGAGGAAGTTGATGAGGTCGAGTATGAGGACGATGCTGACATCGAGAAGGTAAGCATATTTGTTCGTGACTGGACTTGAAGCCAGCAGCTAACTTGGTAATAGATGGGTGAGAACTCGGGTGATGGCCGATTCGGTGGTGACTGGGAGGACGACGAGGATGATATGGGTGACGGCCAAGCTCAGTGCCAGACCCAGTAATCGGTGATATTTCCGCATCGACGAAGATGGAATATTCTTAGAGACGTGAAGTTTCTGCTCTGGATTAATGAAGTGATGAATACCTCACGATCAGGGGCATTTTCGCTGCCATGGCGATGGCGATGGCGATGCGGGAGCTAGGGTAACAGGTTTATCAGTATCAGGGCCAAATTCAGAGGCCTCCAGGATGATATCAAAAGGAGAGACGACTGAAGACTTGTTCGTTTTGGAAAGGAAAATCCAAAATGGTATCATATCATGACAGACCATACACACCAAACCACACCACTCTTGCGTTCAAAGAAGGAACAGGTCTCGGTCTCGAAGGCCGGGAGATTCCGTTGCAGGAGATACATGATAGATAGACTCGTGCATAAAGATATTGTAGAGGCTTGAACTATGAGGTTCTGTAATCAATTGCTGGGATGTTGTGCAAGTGAGCGAGAACAAAGGGGAGCGAGTTGAAGTGTGAGGTGGGAAATTGCATCGTAGAGGTACTTCAAAGTGGACCCACCACCTTTTTGGGCTGCTTTAGTCGAATCAACTTACACCAAACAACTCCAAAGTTGATCACTTCCTTTACGTTGACAAGTAGATGAGCGCCAATTTGCAGAGGGGCTGATTCTGCTGACACTCTTTGACCCTTGTGGGCATGCTCTGTCTGCACCTAAAGCATCCGATATACTACACGCTCAATCAACAGCCAACTGATGGGTAAGAGCAACGAGTTCTCCCCTATCTTCCACTGCCCAACTGCTTGACGTGTCTCTAGAGAAATATCTTACGTAGAGTCTTTGGACTTGAAAACGGTTTATATATATAGGTACTTAAAACCATGCATATCGAGGGATCTGTCTCACAATCGCATCTTTCTAGACCCACCCCCGCCATTTGACGTAATCCCAAACCTCCACCACTAACACCAACACCAACACCAACACCAACACCAACACCAACCTTACCTTACCTTACCTTACCTTACTCCTCCGACAAATCTCATCCCCAACTTCCGCAATGTCACGCAAAGGCGTTGGCCTTGCGGCCTTTGACCGCTCACGCCTCACATCAGCACAGTTCGCATCTCATGGCTCCTCCCTGCGCGCCAACAACGCCCAAGCTCTCGAAACACAGCTCGCCGTGTTTCGCTCCCTCCTCCAGCAGTTCGCAAACACACACGCTCGCGATATCCGCTCCGATCCCGCTTTTCGCGCCCAATTTGCTCGCATGTGCGCTGCCATCGGTGTAGATCCACTAGCGAGCAGCAATAGCAACAGTAGCTCGGATGGAAGCTCCATTTGGGCCCAGTTACTCGGAAAGACGGTCAACGATTTCTACTTTGAGCTCGCTGTAAGGATTGTCGAGGTTTGCGGCGCCACACGCGCGGAGAATGGAGGTCTTATCGGTCTGGCGGAGCTGAGAGAGCGGGTCGCCGCAGGACGTATGGATGGCGCTGATCCCATTGCCGATGATGATGTCCGGCGCGCTGTACAGACGCTTGCTCCGCTAGGCGGCGCGTATGCTGTGGTGCGTGTAGGTCGAAAGGAATATGTGCGGAGCGTACCCCGTGAACTCAACGATGATCAGGTCTCGGTCGTTGAGGCGGCGCAAGTCCTGGGTTATGTGAGTGTCAGCATGCTGAGGGATAACCTGGGCTGGGATAGGGCACGCGCCCGAACTGTGATAGACGATCTCGTTGCCGGCGGCATGCTGTGGGTTGACAAGCAGGCAAAGGGCGAGTGGGAGTATTGGAGTCCTGGGTTTATGGCTGAGGCTGCTACTCCGGATCAGGGCGACTGAAGCACCCCGAGGAATCGACTTCTCCCTTTTGGGGAGTATCTCGAAACGCAGCAGGCTATACGACTACGGTGGCAAGGTAGAAGTCCCGACCGCGGATCTCATAAGACAAAGCGAGAGTGCTTGAAACTCATGAGGCGCCTGCCTTGTTTTGGTCCCCCATGTAGCCAGGCTGCCAGACTTATACATTGAGCCTCCATCACTCACCTCGCATCCCGTGGCGAGTTGACCAGTCAAGGGACACTTCGCATCCACATATAGTCCCGGCACGAGAGTGGGAAGCTACCATCAAGAATTTCCAGCCATGATGTCATACGGGAGTTGTGAAGAACTATTCAGAAATGATAGGCCCCAAGGCCTTTCGCTCAAAAACTTAAGACACATGTCACTCACGCATCAGAGTTATTATTCACATATCCTCAAATTAGGCTCTAACAGGCCAACCAGGTAACTCTACTATAGAAGGTGTATAGAAAAGATAAAATACTAGTTCATTTCATTAACCAGCAACTCGCACATACAAACATACACATCTTAACACTTCCCCTCCACATTGCCCTTATCCTTAACCAGAAATTCTCTTGTAGATACATGTTCAACAGCCTGAGTTCAGGACGGGCACCAGTCCAACTCACCCCCTCATCTCGGGTATATACTTGTCAAGCGACACGACCCATCCGAGCATGGGTTTCAACATCATCCACCCATCGCCAAGAAGTCAATGTTGGTCGACTCCTTCGTCACTAGGTTTCCCTCCTCTTAAGATGCTGTAGCCGTTCCTAATGCCATCTCCTACCTGTCCCCGTTGGCGTGGCTGAGCTCGGATCGGCGCTTGAGATGGAGTCGCTTAGTAGGGAGGGTTGGGGCCACCCATGCCAGGAGGAGGGTAGTCATCGGGGCGGCCTGGTCGCATATCACC